GAATCAACCTCCCTAACTTCAAACTCTACTACAAGGCAGTAATAATTAAAACAGCATGGTAATGGAACAAAAGCAGAGCTGCAGACCAATGGAACAGAGTTGAATATACTGACATTTCCTCCCAAACATATAATCATCTAATCTTTGATAAGGGGGCAAGAAAAGTGAAATGGAGCAGGGAAAGCCTCTTTAATAAACTCTGCTGGCAAAATTGGACGGCTACATGCAAAAAAGTGGGCTCAGATCTCTGCCTAACACCATGCACAAAAGTAAGATCAAAATGGATTTATGACCTCAACATCAGACCAGAATCCATAATGTTTATTGAAGACAAAGTCGGCAAAACTCTCCATGATATTGAAGCTAATGGTATCTTCAAAGATGTCACGCCACTGGCCGAGCAAGTGAAAACAGAGATAGACAAATGGGACTATCTTAAACTAAGAAGCTTCTGCACCTCAAAAGAAACAGTGACCAAAATACAAAGACAGCCTACAGAATGGGAAAGGATATTCACCAAGTACACATCCGACAAGGGGTTGATATCAAGGATATACAAGGTACTGGTTAAACTCCACAAGAAGAAATCACCCAACCCCATCAAAAAATGCTCCATGAATGGAAGGCCAGCCACAGGCTCTAGGTGAAAATGAACAGAAACTTTCGCAAAGAAGAAATTCGAATGGCAAAAAGGCACATGAGAAAATGCTCTACATCACTAATCATCAGAGAGATGCAGATCAAAACCACAATGAGATATCATTTCACACCACAGAGACTGGCCCACATCCACAAGAACAAATGCAACCGGTGCTGGCACGGATGTGGCGAGAAAGGGACCCTCCTTCACTGCTGGTGGGAATGCCGGCTGGTCCAACCCTTTTGGAAAACAGTATGGACGACTCTCAAAAAATTAGAATTTGATCTGCCATTTGACCCAGCTACAGCACTCCTGGGAATATATCCCAGAGAGGCAAAAAGGTATAGTCGAAGTGACATCTGCAATTGTTTGTTCATTGTAGCACTCTTTACAATAGCCAGAATCTGGAAAAAACCTGAGTGCCCGAGAACAGATGACTGGTTAAAGAAACTTTGGTACATTTACACAATGGAGTACTATGTAGCTGTTAGAAAAGATGAAGTTATGAAATTTACATACAAGTGGTACTACATGGAAAGTATCATGTTAAGCGAAATGAGTCAGAAAGAGCGGGATAGACACAGAAAGATTGCATTCATCTGGGGAACATAAAGCAACAAAAAGGGAGACTAACACCCAGGAATGGCTGAGATTAGTACCAGGAATTTTGCTCCATGAATGGAAGGCCAGCCACAGGCTCTAGGTGAAAAGGAAGCTCAGATAGAGAAGAGAGTACCAAATGAAGGGTGTTGTGAGGGCCCTCCCAGGGTGGGAGAAGCATGCTAAAAGTAGTCGATAGACCAAACATGATTGCCACTCAAAGCCTCTCTTGCAAAACACAGTACCCAAAAGAAGAGAGAGAGAACAAGGGGGAATACCCTGCCACTGAGGCAGGATGGGACGGGCGGGGGGGGGGGATGAGGGTTGGGGGGGGATGCTGGGACCCGTGGGGATGGATGACGGGGCACTGGTGGAGGGATGGGCACTTGATCATTGTATAACCGAAACCCAAGCACAAAATTTGTAAGCCTATAACTGTACCTCATGGTTTTTCACTAATAAAAAAAAAAAAGAAGAGAACAGCACCTGGACCAGACAAGGTCAGACTGAAACGCCTGAAGAATCTGCCATCAGTACTCATCAATACACTGGCTCAGCTCTTCATACGCTACCTGTCTGAATGCAAGGTTCCATCCCAGTGGAAAACCAGCAGGACTGTACTAATGTACAAGAAAGGAGACATCTACAACATTGGCAACTATCACTTGATATGCCTGTTGTCCGTCGTCTACAAGCGGTTCACTTGAGTCATCCTGAAAAGGATTGTCAGAACACTACATGAAGGACAACTATGCGAGCAAATCAGGTTCCAAAAAGGATTCAGCACAATCCACCAAATCCACTGAGGTTTCTCGGGAGTTCGAGATGCCACTCTGTCTAACAGTTCCTTGATTAAAAGAAGGCCTTTGATTTTGTTGAGAATGAAGTGGTCATCAAAGCCCTAGCCAAAGAGAGCATTCAAACTCAATACATCAGGATCCTTCATGAGCTGTTATTACGGATTCACTACCAGGATCTCACCATTCTACAAGGAAGTGATCATCAATGTTAAGAGAGGGGTTCGGTAGGGTGATACCATTTCACCGAAACTCTTCAGTGCCACCCTTGAGAACATCAAGCGATTGCTGGAATGGGAAGGAATGGGGGTGAAGATAGATGGTTGGCAACTATACCACCTCTGCTTCGCTGATGACATCGTTCTAATAACACAAAACATTAGCCAAGCAGCACAAATGCTGGCCGACTTCGACCATGAGTGTGGAAAGATCGAACTGCAGCTGATTCTCTCTCAAAGACAATGGTTATGAGAAACATACTCATTCCTGATGTTCCATTCACTCGCAACGAGACAACCATCTCCGAAAGCAGCAGTTATGGGTGCATAGGTCGAGAACTCAACATGACAAAAGACCTGGCACCTGAGTTGCGCAGGAGGAAGACAGCATCATGGAATGCCTTCAAGAGCCTTGAAGCAATAGTTAAGAGGATGAAGAACCTCCGGCACCAGGCACATCTCTTCGATTACACCATTCTTCCTGCATTACCATATGCCTCAGAGACCAGGGCCCTACGAAAACAGGATGAGAACGCTATTCGGGTCTCCCAAAGAGGAATCGAAAGAGCTATGCATTTGCCTTGAATGCAGCCGACTCAGGCTCGATTCCCTATGCCCCTCTTGGAGAGCCTGCCAAGCTACTGAGAGTATCCCACCCGCATGGCAAGCGCCCCATGGCCATCCCCATGGTGATTCAATATACCAAAAACAGTTAACAACAAGTCTCACAGTGGAGATGTTACTGGTGCCCGCTTAAGCAATCGATGAACAACAGGACAGTGCTACAGTGCTATGTAGTAAGAGGGGTAGGTGCCAAAAAAAACCAGCATACAGTTCCCTCAGCTGCTGATCTAAGTATAACTAATCACTTAAGTGATGAAGCTTCTGTTTTACCCAATGGAACCATTCTCTAACACCTTAGACGGAAGGGAAAAAAAAAGAAAAAGAAAAAAATCATTGTCTGGTTCAGTCAGTCTGGTATAAAACTTCATTGTAATTGGAAAAATGCAAATTTATCTCCTAGACTTGAAAGCATTACTTGTTGATTCCCTGATTAGCCTTCCTAGGGACTAACAACATCAAAATGTCATCAAAGTTTTAGAGCACAAATCCAAGAGCAAAAAATTACTTAGCTCCACAGGGGCAGACCTTATACAGGAAGATACGAGTTTCAGAGGGTAGAATGTAAATCTCCGGTCAGAAAAACTGCAAACATGACTCTCTTTTGAGCTCTGCCCTGCCTCAGCAGACACTCTGAATTGCCTTACAAAGGAACTGGACACTGGAGAACAAGATTTTCTGTGAGATGCTGCTGTAATCCAAGACAGTGAACTGAACAAGTTATCCATGTGAGAGAGAACACACCAGAGGAGAACGGCCAGGACACAGGACATATCTGTTACCTGGGGGAGGCAGAGGACCACATACTGTGAGGAGAGAGAGGTGCCAGAGCTCAACATTTCTCTACGATTTCCCCTTTCTACTTTCATAAATTCCTATTCAGTGCTTAGTAATGATTCATTTCTCTATTACTGTTTCTTTCAAATCTCTTTTTCCTATTTTCACATGTAACAAGGTTATTATCCCGTCCAATAAGTATCTGTCTGCACACGTAAACTCTTGATACCAGCTGACCCTGGAGATATTCAGGAATCTGGCAGGTGGAGTCTAGACTACTTGGTCCTGAGCCTGCCACATGTTTTAGCATCTGTTGATTAGAAAAGAAAATAGTAAGTCTATGTTGAAAACAAAAAAAATCCAACAAGCAATGAAATAACAGTGGGGTTCTGAGAGGCACATGGGAGCGACAAACCTGCAGACTCACAACAAGAGTCAAGGGGAGATGAGAAATCCTCTAAGGAGCCTTGGTCATTGGTTGCCATGTCACACAAATTTCCTCCTTCATGCTGACAATCACAGAAGAAACAAACTGTGTGCTTCCACTGCTGTCCCCACCCCAGCCCACTGCCCAGGGTCCCTGGACCAGGCTTCTCCCACTCCACCTCTGGAATCACTTCGGTATTGGAGGCTTCTCACCCAAAAGGGCTTGGCTCTCCCCGACTCTCTGAAGATGACTCCAGCCACACACTCACACCTCAGCAGCACACACAAGAAAGGATCTAAAAACACAAGTTCATTCCCAACCTTTTCTTATTATTACTGCCAACACCTCTGAGGAGTCTTTCTAACATTTTCCTAATCATACCTCCACGAAGTCTTAATACCCTATATTAGATAAATTATTATTAAATATATGGCATATCTACTGCTAAATAATACAGTATGTACAGATACAAAAATATAATTAATGACTTATCAAGAACCAGTTTTCACCATTTGTAAGAGATACTCCCTGAAAATGTATAATCGTAAAGCACACAAAAATTGGTATTATTAAAAAAAATTGGTATTACTTTACTAGAAGAATTTAACTACCACTCCTCTAAATCTTAGTAGAATCTAAATTACCAAGGACATCATCTTCCCTTAAGCTGAGTAACATGGATGACTAACAGCTCCTAACACTGAGTAACCAGATGAATCTCTGAGCTTCCAGAAGTCCAACCTCTTCCCTACAGTTATGCCTCTCCACAGGGAAGTCACAGAATCAACAAGGGTTCTTTCAGCTTATTCCAGTTTCAAGAGAGAATGTGCTTTCTTCAACCCTAAAGTCTTTTAGTTGTCAACTAAAACACAAATACGTCAAACCACTCCTCACTCTGGAAACAGGATAAATGGACTTACTTCTTGACGTTTGAAATTCTGGACATATTCTTCGAACTGTTCGTCTTTGGTCTCATCAGCCTTCCCAAGCTTCTGAAGGACCTATTGTTGACAAAACAAAACAGCCTGACTTAACAATACTTTCAAATAATAATCAGAGTAAGGCAATTATTATCAGATGGCCATAGAGTTGCTGTAACTAGACAATATAGTAAGTTTTTTCCCACCATCTCCAGTTATTTTCTTCAATTCAGTCAATACCCATAGAGTTCCCAAAAAACACAAGGGCCCCATGATAAGCACTAGTCATCCAGAAACACAAAAATGAATAAAACAAGGCTCAGAACTATAGGGGATCACGCTTTCTGAATAAAGCCAACAGTAAAAGAAAACAATGCATTATTTCATTTGTATGTAGTATGAAAAAATAAAAAGAGCACAAAGATGTTGAGAATCACAACCAGCTTTCCTCTCCCATATCCTGTCAATGGCCTCTGCAAGACACCAATCTACAACCAATTCAAAACTATAGAGACTGAACACATTCAAAGCAGACACTGTGGCACTGCCTGATGTCTTTCCTAAAACATATTCATTTGGACAGTAAACTACACCCAAAGGAGTTTCACGGGTAGATGGGTTTGCATCAGATTCTTCTAGTCTGCTTTAGGAAATAAAGGATACAACAAATTGTACAAGGAAATCTGACCAGAAGAAAGAGAAGCTTGAAAATCTACTATGAGCAGCTTTGTAAATAGTGCTTCTAGTAAAAAAATATTAATAATAAAAACTTTTTACCTATATTGTGTCTTTATTATTTAATTACCGTTCTTCCAACCCAAGCCTGTTCATGTTTAGCACAATGTAAGATCTGAAACAGGGCCTAGATGTTAGTGCAGTTTTTTCTTCCTTCAGAATTTCTTCATTATTCTTCGATGTTATAATGAACAGAAAAAATAAAATATAAACAGCTTTTCGTCCTAATATCCTGTTATGAGAGCAATATGCTGTCTTCTACAGCTAAACAGACTTGTTAGTAATCAGATGAAAGATTCTCATAAAGTCGGTGCGGAGTTCACAGATACCCCAAAGGACCACCATGTCCTGAGGTTGCCCGAGGCTCCATCTGACTCAGTGGCACAGGTGAAGATGCTGTCACAGTTTGCTGGGAACCATAGGGGTTATATATTGAAATAATGAGCTACGGTGTCTAGCATATAATTAAAGCTCAACAGGCACTATTATTATTAATATCACTGTCTAGCTACATTGAATCATTACAACAGTCTAGCCTTCGTGCACTAAAAAGCAGTCAAAGAAACTGTAAATGTTAGTGCTAAGACTTGGGATCCACAAAACAAGATAAAATGCAACAAGGACATGATTTAGGTAAAAAATATAACCTTCCAAGTATGGAATTTAGGTATTCAAGTTTTAACCAAAATGCAGAGAAATAAGCCCAAAATAAACAGGGTGGATACTAGGAATACAGTCTCTGCTCAGAAGCAGAAAAAAGGAATTATTCTAGCATGTGATCAATATGAACTGGCAAAATGATGTTGTTACCGAACCATCGGCTGTGATTTCAGAGGCACTGAGAAGCACAAGAGACTCCCGGGGAGAGTCGGCACTGGACAGGGTAGTAAACACCGGAGGACACACAAAAGAGAATATCTAAAGGCAGTCCAGAAAGGCGGCGAGTCAGCATGGGGAGGAAGAGGCTTACTCCCTCTCCCTGGCTAAGGTCTCTGCTCCCAGGGAGAAGGGACAAGCAAGGGTGCAGAGTACAGCTACCTTTTAGTACCAAAGTGCCATCACAGAAAAGATAAAATTTGTCCTATTAGAAACCAATATCAAGAATTTCTATCAGCACATAAAGGCTATTAGCTTGAAATTTTTAGAGAAAACTTTCATATAAAAATAGTTATAAGTTATAAGTTCTCCAGAAGGAGAACTATGCTGCATAATGTCGCTCGCCTGTGATATATGATGAGCAAAAGGAAATGGAAATAAAACCTTGGACTCTGTCCTCAGAACCCACGTTACTGTGGAGTGTGGCAGGGGGCAGGGAGAAATGGCAGACGGCATGAATATTACAGTAAAAATGGGAATGCAAATTTTTTAAAGCATTCCATTATTTTCTGAAAATCGTTGGTAAAGGTATTGATATCACTGTTATCAATACAAGAAGTCAAGGTTAACCAACAGAGATATTAGAGAAGAAAGTCAATTTTTTATTTGTGGTGCTTGTTTGCTCGGTTTTCAGGGTACACACAATAGTGCTCAGGGCTTATCCTGACTCTGTGCTCAGGAATCATCTTGGTGGAGCTCAGGGACCATGGGGGATGCAGGGGATTTAACCCAGATCAGCTGCGTACAAGCAAGCACCTTACCGACTACAATATCACTCCAGCTGGAGATTAATTTTTTAAGAGCGAAAGGAATATCTTCAAATATTAATTTCTAATTAGAATAATTACACATGCATAATAAATTAATATGCATAAAATATAAATAAATAATTTATGCATACATGCATAATAAAGTCAATATGCTTGGAGTTTTCCCAAGGAAAGAACATAACCCATGAGACCAGGAGGTAACACAAGACAGGGCACAAGAGCCTGGTCAGACTGGAGGCAGCGAGCATCCCGGGAGCCCATGGTGGTCCTGGAAGGGACCTGAGGACACCACACTCAGATGCCAGCACTGACCACCAGCCCAGCTGGGAACGAGCAAAGCAGCCCCCACCACCAGCCCGGCCGGGTGCGAGCCAAGCACCCCCGACCACCGCCCGGTCGGGAACGAGCATTCCCCTCTCAGCATCCCCATTCCCCCCTCAGCATCCCTCTGGAACAAACCACGACCTAGAGAAGAGAGGCTGTTCCTTCCGTCTCCTCCTGTGTGTCTGACTGAAGGCCAAGTGCCTGCTCTGGGCTGGGGTCAGCAGAGCTGTGAGCTACCTTAGGAACTGTGTGACAAAGCTGGGGTCCAGGTGCACAAGACTCAGGAAACCCAGCGTGCAAGACTAAAGGCCTGTATTTCCCGCCGCAGTCCTGGGGCACTGAGAGAAATGGTACTGGGGAGCAGCCAATCATGTGCCCATCACAGCGATAATAGCAAGGATCAATTAGGACAGAGCAAAACTGGCTGAGTGAAACTGCTTAAGAGACTATTTAAACAATCCAGGCAAGGAATGACAAAGATTGAGCTAAGCAGCAGATTTTCAAAAACATCCTCAAAGGGTACAGGGAGACAGGGCAAAAGCACAGCCCATGTGGGTACGAGACCCCAGGTTTGATCCCTGACATTGTATAGTCCCCACCCACACTGGACAAGGGTCAGTGGCCCCAAAGCCACTAGGCTAGAGCACGGAAAAGTCAGGTGTGCACAGCCAAGCCCCGTGTCATCAGGAGTGGACCCTGCGCTCTCAGGAACTGCTGGGACATGGCCCCACAATCCTGAAGCAAACACATGGGCAAACACAGGTGCATGACTTACAAGAAAGGTGACCTCCAAGCTCTCATGGACAGGCTGAGCTGGTCATCTGCCAAGAGTCAGGGGTGCGAGGCTATGGGGACTCCAGGGAGAGAAAAGTGGGTGTGGGGTCACAATGGCAAGAACAGTACACACACTGTGGAGCTTCTGCTGGAACCGAGGCCCAGCTGTCGTGAGACTATAAATGCAGTCACCCTCATTTAAGCAGGTTTGAATTTTTTTTTAAACTGAGACACCATGAATTACAGAGCTGTTAAGGTTTTCTGCAGCAGATCTGATATGTGATAAGATTGATCAGCCATATAACAACTATCTTCTGGCACAAAAGATATCAAAATCTAGAAATAAGGTAATTAAAAATACATCTTTTACCTGGATTTCTGTCAACATATGCCACTGATTTATGTCAATATTAGGCTCATATTTTCCGTGCTGCCTCTCATTTGCTTTTACACTGGTCATATTAAAAATACCAATTAAACCCCAGGAGTTTGGCACCACTTATATACAGAAGGATTACTATAACTCATATACTTAACAGTTAGATTTTAACAACATAATGTGTCTTGCACAGACAAAAGTAAGACAATTTAGTAACCTGCACACTTTGGCTTGGGAATTAATTCAATAATGACTCCCTCTACACTAACACTTGAATATTTTAAAACAATAGGGTTTTGCTACTACTTTGGGGCTGGAGAAACAGCACAGCGGTAGGGCGTTTGCCTTGTGCACAGCCAGCCCGGCCGAGCCGGGTTCAATTCCTTTGCCCCTCTCGGAGAGCCCAGCAAGCTACCAAGAGTTTTCAATATGCCAAACACAGTAACAAGAAGTCTCACAATGGAGACGTTACTGGGCCCGCTCAAGCAAATCGATGAACAACGGGAGGACAGTGTTTTACAGTGTTTTATGGATGCTAATTTTCATATGCAAAATACCTTCTAAGTTGAGTAAACTTTGCACACTGGCCTGCCTTCCCTCAGGACCCCGAAACTGCTCTGGGGAAGGGTGTGTATTCACCCCCTTACTCTCAACTCAGCGTTCTAAAGTTCTAGTCTGATTTTAAGAAACATCCTGACATAAACATTAAAAAAAAATAGGAGAGAAAAATAAGAATATGATGACATGGAATATTTCAACTAAAAATCCTTTTCTCTTATGTCTTGAAGTAGATAACTCCTCGGCCTGGTTAATGGTGTAGATATCACCTTCTAGTTAGTGCAGTTGACCCATGTGTACAGAGTGCCTAGGTAAAGTCCCCGAAAACATAGAACACTTTTTTTTTTTGGAATGACTCCTGGTGAGCCCCGGGGATCACAGGAGATGCCAGGGATTGAACCTGTGCTGGGCACCAGGCAAATGTCCTACAGCCTGGACTATCACTCTACCCCCCCAAATTTACAGCTCTTGGGTTTCAGCAGTTTCCCCCATATTCAAATCAAATTTCTGACCAATTTTCAAGTCCAGTCCAGATCATATTCTACTGCAATAGTAAGAGAGTGATTTTCCCTCTTAATTTTATTTTGACAGGGTAAGTCACTCTGGGAGTGCTGCTGCACCTCAGACTGGGCTTCACATTTGCATCATATCCCTGGGGTCTTCTC